TTGCTAGAGCAGGAGATAGCACCTGGTCTTACAAACCTGGCAGTGAAGGCAATGCAAAATTCTGTCTCTAAAGCAGACCTATCTTTACAGTATGCAATGCAATGTTTACTTTCCCCATTAATCCTTGTCTAAATTAGGAACGATTCAACTTTAATCAGTGCTGAAAATGATTTATAGTGCTACTAAAGGTAGGGGTACAGTTTCTATTCCCAGCTTTGCAACTAAAGCTGTTCTACACTTTAAAAATATTTCTAACAACTACTGTATGTCCCCAGGGCTGAGAAAAATGATATGTCCTGAGTGTTGTGGTTACCTGCAGCAAAGACACACCTAGACTGATGGACGAATTCTTCTGTTGAGGTAGATACTGCCTCTTTGCGATGTGGATTAACTACATCAATGGAAAAATCATCAGCGTAGGAAGTATCCACACTACAGCCATGTAGCTGCAGCTGTGCCACTGTAGGCCCACCCCTGCACTTACCAGCGGCAGTAGGAAGCAGAGCGACCTGGCCCCATGCCCTTCCTGCTGCTGGTGAGGGAGGGTGATCGTTCCACCGTTCCCCCACCCCCCCTCTTCTCCAAGTCATGTGACTGGGATCCAAGGGAGCAGAGCGGCCTGGGCCAAAGCACTCCACTTCCCACTACCACCAGTGAGTAAGGAGGCAAACCTAGCCCCTGCTGCCTTCTTGCTCTGCCCCTGTCAGCTCTGGGCCTGCCCCCCACAGCTCCTCCTTCCATGGCCCCACAGCTGAGAGTGGGGTGTACGTGCAGGTGCTTGGATTGCACAGGGCACCAAAACTGCTAGGGACACCCTGTCTGCTGTGTCTTCTGGCAGTTCAATTCTTGTTTCTTCCACCTTCCCAGGGATGATGCAAGACTAAGTTCTTGACATGCCACAGTAATATAGAATAGCTTGCTTCAAGTCTGACACATGCTTCCAAGCACTACTCTGCACCCAGATTGCTAAGGAAAACTACCCAGCTCTTCTGTCTATTGCTAGGACTGTGGCTGTGTCTCACTAGGCATTTTCATTGACAATTTCCCAGTATTGCTAACACCGTTTCAGCTCCATCCATGGCACCAATAGCAAATGGGCCATGAGACGTCGTGTGTAAGGTAATATCTTTTACTGCTCCCAATTCTGCTGGTGAAAAGAGATACGCTTTTGAGCTACGCAGAGCTGTTCAGAGCTGAAAAAGGCACTCTCTTTAATATCCTGGGACCAACATGATAACACCACCACTGCAAAAAAAGATGGTTAAAACACCATCGGGCATTGCCAACAGAACTGCAAAATTGGTGACAAATTGGGGAGGCTGGGGGAGAGGATCTAGCATAGCGTAGCATAACCAGCCTCCATGGCAATCAACATCACTAGCACATACTTAAAGCATATCAGCTTGTGGAATACATCTATGGACATGCACATACACAAGAGTGTATGATTTCCAGCTAAACCACACATAACTGGAAGACCATATTATAGAGCTCCAAAAATAGGCCTCTGAGATAAAGAAGAATTTCAATATTGCACTGGGAACCCTGTTTTAAAATTGGATTCAGGAAATAATATACTTAAGGCATTTACATTGTGATGCAAGAGAACACTCAAAACTGAACAAAGCTCACAGCCTCTTTGTAATCAAAGCCTTATTGTCTTGCAGCAAAATTGAGCAGGTCTTGGTATATCCAGCAGAGGGCAGTGATACACATATATGCAAGCCAGAACATCACATACATGCCATCTGCTTTTCCATACTCCCTGATGAAGATACTGTTTTCATGGTATGAAAATATTTTCCACAAGTAATTAACATCAGATAGTGATGTCTGTGAATGTGCTGGTTGTAGTGACATCCCTGCTTATCAACCCCACCCTGCTTGAAAACTCAGACACATTATATCACATCCTCCAGTATACCCAAACCCAAACATACAAGCTATGTTCAAACTCTGCTAATGATCATCACTACCTTAAAAATAAGAATTTCTAAGATAATTCTGACAAACCAGCCATCCAATTCATCCATTGGGGCTCAATATATGCAACTTATATGCTCACTTATAAATCCCTTTAAAACAGAGGTTTATAGCCAAAAATCAAGAATTCAATTCTAGTGGCATTAACAATAAGACTCCTAGTTCTATGTTTGTAAAGTGCTTTGAAAATGTTAGCCTACCCCAACACTGTATTTCCCCAGTTTATAGAAAGGGAAACAAGCACAGAGAGATTACCCACAGCCACAGGGAGAGCAACATTATGGTAATCATGGTAAGGTATTCCCTTACCTTTTCCTATGTCCATAAAACACTCAGTATTTTAATTACTTCTCCAAACCTGTGCCATTAGCCCTGAATGCTCCAAAACTGCTATGTACACAAAAGCTATTGTTAGTGAATATTGGACTTGAAAAGACTGCACATCTCTGTAGTTACTCCTCCTTCCTCTTCCTATATTGCATCTCCCAATTAAAACAAATATATCCCCAAAGAACAAGGAGAAGAAGCAGCATTAACAAACAATTTAAGTGAGTTAGAAGTCTGATCCCTTGTGTATGCAGTATCAGTAATTAGCCAAAAGGCATCATCTTTGCTGTTAGCAATGAAGCTCAATAAAAATTAAACTTTCCTATGGGCAAGGACTCCCCTGGGGACTCTCATATATTAATATATTTGCCACCCACTTGTTGTTTGCTGTCAGAGAAACTGGGACACAGCTGAAAAATTAGCTGACTGCTGAATCAGCAAAATGGCTTCTGGAAAAGTACTGATTTTTTATGTTGGTTAGCTAGTATGGATTAATATTTTCTCTCCTTGTCAGATGCCTAATGCAAGTGATTATGCATGGTTTCTGTTAGCAATGTGCTCTCAATTGCTCCATGATCAGTCTAAACTGGTATAAATTAAGTTTTTCAACAAAAGTTTTTATAAAGTAGGCTCCCTACCTATTGCAAATACATTCATTTATAACATACTCAGGCCCTGGGATCAGGTTGAGCCAGCACTTAGCACTGCCAATATCACATACTAAAATGGAGTTTCCAGCTGCTCTGAACATAGCCATGTGTAGTCTATAGCATTAGCTATTTTATGATGATCACTGTAGCAGAAACATCCACCTTCTCGGCAATTACAGGCAGTATTAGGAGCTCAGATACAATGGTAAAGAGAGCAATTTACAGGGACCTGACTATGTTAGAGTAGAATAGCTTGGGATTGTAGCTGCAGCTTGAGTTAAGTCCCACCACATTTCCCTTCTACTAATCTGTCCTCTGAGCTCAGTTCCTATCTGCAATATCCTGGGAAACCGTGCCACAGTCTGCTCTCCAAACACATCTAACTCACAATGAAGTCAATAGTTGTAAGAATGTATCTCATGACAGAATTTGGCCACTGAGCCAAATTCCCCCCAGTCTAATGCTACTGACATCACTGAAGTTGCAGCACAGAATAAATTTGGCCCATTGTATTTAAACACTGTTGATAAGCTATTAAGGATGGATACAATGCAGCAACAAATACTTTCCAGTCTGGCCATTCTGATATCATCTAAGGGCTGGAATGTTTTGCTAATTGTCATGCTGCTGCATTCAATTCTATAACGAAGTGCATAGGCACACTTATTAAAACCGTTTTTGCAAGGCCAGATCTTCTTCCTTGGTCTGTTGAGAGGCAGAAGAGCATTTAAAGACAAGATGTAAGCAGCTTGCATATATTGACTAAAGGCATGTCATGATGTCTAAGCTAGCGTCTAGTATGCTTCAATGTTAAAAGCCCTGTGGTCTTGTTCCTTTACCACAGGTGTTGGGGCTTTGTGATTTTGGTCCTAATGGTCACTGGTGCTATTCCCGAGATGAGCATAGCTTACACTGAAAAGCCCAGCCTAAGGGGACCAAACATGTTCAGTGTTGTCCTAATTTTGCATCCAATGAAATGAATGGATTTGACTTTGATGGGAGCAGAATCAGGCCGACATTCAGTGCTTTAAAAATTCCACTCAAATTACACTGGAATGTGCAACCCACTATTGTGCAAGTACTGCAAAGAGAAGAGTACCCTCTACTCCGTGCCATCAGGGGGGCCAGCCTCTATCATCTCATAATTCTGAGTCAGCCTGTAAGAAACTCAGAAGGTTGAACTCATACAAATAAAACACTCCATTTATCAAACAATGAGTAAATGACTGCCCAGCAATTGTTACAAACCTCAGATCTCGATTGCAGCACAGGACGTGTGGCCATAACTGTCACAAGTCACATCTCCAGAAACTATTCATCACTGTCAACAAGCAAGCTATTAAATCTGAACCTGACAGTGTTTGGAAATGTTCAGTTCTTGTCAGGAAATCCTGGCTGATGGGAGCCCCTTCTTGTTACCTTCACTTTGTTTGTTAAAGGTAACACTGATTCCCGTAGGCACTGACTTCTAGATTTTCTGGGGAGTACCTGACCCCCCCACTCAGACCTTTGCCCTGCCCCTTTCCCCAGGGTTCCCTAATTTAACTAATGCTTCCCCATAGTGAGGGGACACAATCTAAAGGGCAGGTTCCATGACCTCCGTACCCAGCTCTGGGGCTACCATGCTCTCCCCACTCCATGGTACCTGTGGTTTGTCCTCCTGCTGTGCCAGCCCCTCCCTGTGGCACATTCTGTCACTGTCCTGGTGGGCAGGAGCAGGAGGGAGCTGCTTTTAATGTGTGTGGGGGAAAACGTGATTGAGCTGATCAGCAGGGCCCACTCCTGCAGGGGGATATTTAGGGGGAAGGAGAGACCCACTAGTGGGAGCTTAGCACCCACTATTTTTTTTTCCATGGGTGCTGCAGCCCTGGAGCACCCCCAGAGTTGGAAGCAATGTGGATTCCAATTTCTGCATTGGAGTCTCAGATTTCATGGGTGAAGATGGTAGGTTCAGTCAGATGAATAAATGGACATACCAGAGCATCCACCTGAGAGTTAATTCCCATCAACATCATAGCTTCTGTGTTGGTTTATGCTCACCTTTCTCAGAAGAAAGCAGATGCGCTCAATGTTTCTTAGTCTCTCTCGCTGTCAAAAAGAGGTGAGAAAAAAAGGTTATATTGTGTCATGAATTAAAGAAAGTATATCACAAATATAATGAGCCCAAATCATCCCTGGCTTACATTCAGATATCAGAATTACATCAGGGATGAATTTGGCCTAATAATATTTCTATATATATATTACTTTAAAATGGTAGTATCACTCAGTTATCTTAACACCATTGTGAGGCAGATAATTATTATTCCAATAACATATGAGAAAACAAACCAGAGACAGAACTGAGCCTTAAAGTTAGCAGGGCAACAATTCTGAAGCCAGTAAATGTGCCTTCTTACAGTAATGCTGAACTGGTCCAGAGAAGCTGAGGTACACACGTTCCAATTCCCACTCACTTCAGTAGCAGTTCCAAATTGAGAACATGTGTTATACAGGCAATGACAGAAGTACCAAGACGCTCTATCAATGTGAAGCTTTTATAGTTCAGGTTACTGCAGTGTATTTGTAATATGCTAGAAATATTCTTTTAAAATAGAAGACGTGCATGAACTGAGAGACACTGCCTCTTGAGACACTTGAGGATCAAGGACATTGCAGGCTCAGCCGATGCTAGGAAAATCAAAACAAAAGCTTCAGCAGGCTTTCTGTTAAATGGATCATAGATGAGAATTTAACTAGCAAGGTCCACTCTGCATAGACACGTTACTTGAGCCACAGAGCAAAATTTTGCTCTTGGTTACAACCAGGGCTACACCCACAGTTACACCATGGCAATCAATGGAATTATTCTATATTTACTGAGGTTAGCACAGGACAGAACCTGTTGCACTCTGCCAAATGATGTGAGCAATTCAAAAGCAAATTAAGTTTTACGCCTCTTCTTACAATAGATTAGAGAAGTAGATTGGTGTGTACCTTATGTTCTTCAGAGGGGTGTTAAGCTTTTTTCTCTAGACATTACAAAAGCTACTATGGACAGTCACCTTTCTGAAACAAATAATGAGATGAACCAATGTGTGAAGCCAATTCTCTAGGCCCTTCTGTGTTTTTCAAACTATTTTAAACTGATTCCATTTTGTGAGGATTATATTTCTCCTAAAAAAAAGGTTTCAAACTGGGGAGATAATGTAAGGTACAAAAGTAATATTTTCCCTCTGCATGGCACCTTCATGACAAGAAGCTTCTTAGACTGTGGTGCTATGAGGCCCATGTGGGTGTACTCTTACACCTGCACAGAGCATCATTGGCTTCAATGGGAGGTCCCTGTGGAGGTAAGGTTCTGCCAACATAGTTCTTATTGAAAGACTGGAGTTAACATGCCTGGTCTTCTGGAAGAGGTAGTGGTATAGACATTACAATGGAAGTTGGGGTGACCTGAGTTCAAGTCTCAGCTCTACCAATAGTCTTCCTGATTAACCTCTCTGTCTCTCAGCTTCCTTTCTGTAAAATGGGAATGATAATAAATACTTCCTTACCTGTGCTGTGAGACTAAACAGATTAGTACAAGACATTAAAACAGTCTGATTCTGGAGTCCATACAGTTAGATAGATGGAAATGTGGGTACCAACTGATACCCAATAGGGGAAGAAGGAAAAACATCTGGTGTATGACAGAAGAGCAAATGACTAGTCTCATAAAAATCTCTCTGTGTGTGCTACCATAATGCCCATTAACATCTACTCTGAACAGAAGAAAGTACCATGAGAATATTGTTTGAAGTATTGCAGAAAGCCTGCTAGATGAAAGTCAAAATGATGCTACTGATTACAGAATAACGTACAGTTTTCTGTGGCATGTTTGTTCAGGGTAAATGAAAACTACCGATCATTCTGGGATTGATTAATTAATTAATTGAATCACTAACAGGGACAGACATTGACTTTCTTATCCTGGAAGCCAATTACATTAGCATTCTAAACCAAAAGCAATTTGTCTCTCTAGGGCACCATACGAGCTCAGAAACAAAACAAATTACTGAAACACGATGCAGAGATAGGCACAGAAAGTGTGCTTGTATCACAAGATGAGGAGAATTAAGATACATGGATAAATAGATCTACATGTAACCTTCATAGGAAAAGCTGCAAGATACTTGAGATCGTTTCCTATCATTTCCAGTTACTATTGGGGTGGATTTATTTTAGTAGATTAACAGCTACAAATACTTACATAAACATATATATTAACTTAAGACTGGCTTGATGATTCTGTGGTACAAAGCTTCTTAGGAGACTCCATATTCAATGATGGTATAACAGGTGTCATAAGTTAACTTCACTGAACCCAATTGTTTTTTCCAATGGAATCACTCTGTTTAACACTGGCTTAGCTGAGAGCAGAATTTCCACCTGCCTACGCCAGATGGAATTTGGCACCAGGAATGTTGGAAATAGGTCAGGAATATGTTAAAATAAGGGGAGAAGGAAGCTGTCCCTTACTCCTGATACATGCCATTGCTTTTAAGTTACACTTGTTTTGCAGTCACAGAAGTGCCAAATTTTTGCCACTGATCCAGTATGTAATCTATACAACTGTTTCTGTCCCCATCGACTTTATCACACACACTTTCAAAGAAGATGTACCCCTTTCTTCCAATCTACATTTAAGTTTAATTTGGCCCAGGTTCCTCTATACTTGACTGATGGAGTATAGCAGAGCATGCAGCCTCTGAGTCAAATTATCCTTTACTGTAAGCAGGGAAGCAAGATGGCCATGCTGGGCCCCTGGGCAAGGTGTATATGTGGGGGGGTGTGGCTCCAAGCTTCCAGAAAGGGCAGGGCCTCAGGTGGAAAGGGCCTGGCAAGGGAAGACAGCTCTCATTGCCGCTGGGGGCATGTCACAGTGGGCCCCCCAACCCTTAGAGCTGCCCAGAGTGCACCACTCCGTGCTCTGGCAGTGATTTAAAGGGCCTGGGGCTCTGGCTTCTGCAGTAATATCAGCCAGGGGCACTGGCCCCTCTAGAATTGCCAGGCCCCAAGGCAATTGCCCCCTTTTCTCTCTCTCCGCCCCCCCCACCCCCCATTGTAAACAGGTGGAACCTCATTGACTTCCGTAGGTTATTCTGCCTTAGTGTAGGACAGAATTTAAGTTGCTGCCTATAGGCAGAAAGATGATAGTTGCATCCCTGACTGACGCCCTCCTGTTAGTGAGTGAGCCAACAAACTTTAGAGCTCTCACCAACAGCATTTGGTCTAATAAAAGATACTACTTCACTCATCTTGTCTGCCTAAAATCCTGGAGCTGACACCACTACAACTACACTGATGCAAATTCTGAGGAAAATGGGGTTGCAGAGAAAGAAAAGGATTTTAAAGGGGAAAAGTGTGCTTCAAAATGAATCACATTTCAGCTTTTTTCTGCATCTCTAAATGCTCTCATGCCACTTCTGCTAGAAAGGGAACTACCTCAATAAAGATCCACCCTGAGAGCATCAGACTAAGATGAATTGCTAAATCAAGAGTGAATAGCAGCTGCTCTTAGGGCATGTGTACACTACAGAGTTATTTTCAAATAACTCATGTTATTTTGAAATAACAAGGTGAGCGTCCACACAGCAAGTGTGTTATTTTGAAATTACTAAGCATTGGAAATTGAGTGGTCCAGCAGCCCGCCCTCCCTCCACACATGCTCCCCCCAACTCCCAGAACCCACTCCTTTCCAATCCCTCCAGTACCCACACCCCTGGCTTCTCCTAGCCCCCCTCCCCACCCGGGGCTGCTGAGGGCCATGCACACAACGTGGTGGGACCTCTTGGGCAGCCAAGGTGTCTCAACACACCTAAGGCAGGGACCACTCCCAGTCCCATCCCTGATCCCCTCCTAGGTTCTTTCACTAGTCCCTCCCCAGTTATATATTCCCCAAATAAAAATTACTGAGTTTATTCTTTCAAACAAAAACTTTGGTTTATTTTACCTGTA